GATGTCTGAGAAGGCTCCAGATGTTGCCCTAAGGAACCTCCATGAACATCTGAGGTTGCTTTTGACCCTTGACCTCTCTCCCTGCTTGTTTTCACCCAGAATAAGTACATAGTTTTAAGTTCTGTTACAGAAGCATTCACACGCTCACTCAAAGTTTCCTACAACATTTTGTGTATTTAATTCCCTTTTTATTATCTGCATATGCTCATAAAACTCTGATTTCAGTCAATGCATACTTCTTAACTTCTGCAGTTCTGTACACTAAACTAAAAACAGACCACTGTGAATCCATCGTCAGCTGTGGGAGACGGACGCTTATGTGAGTTATGCAAACCGGCCTTCTGTGTTGTAAAGCTGTGTAATCAAAACTTAACATATTCTTCTGTTACAGTGATAACTCTAAGCTGCACTCTTCTTATCGACAACCTGCCTACGGTTTCCTTCCCACCACTCCGAACACAGTGTGAGAATCCCACACAGGTTTCACAAAGTGCTGATAAGACAGAGGAGTTTTTTCTCTCTCACACTCTGTGATAGTGGTGAAGACGTTTGGGGTGCTTGCAGCGGTCATGGTTCAGAATTTTAAAGAGGGCTGCAGAGACAAAGTTTAGTTGAGTAAAGTAAAGTAAGCTGACAGTGCAAGATTATTTTAGAGTAGTGTTATTCACATTTACAGCCCTGGTGGTCAGAAACAGAGATGTCTATGGCATTAATAAACTTGCAAAGAATAGCAGTAGATGACAGACACTTTATCTGCAACAATTTTAATAACTATCTGTTAGGATTTGCTGCTTTTCTTTGTATATATCGTTTTAATTGGTTGTTTTTGGCTTTCACAAAGTTAGATGCACAAAACAGGCTTTTTAAATGGTTAATTGGCTGTTAATAAATGATAATAAAAAGATCATTATGTGTAGCCTTACACACAAACTACAGGAAATGGTTTTAGGGACCAATCTAGACAGAAACCTACATAGTATCTCATCGAGAACTGGCAAACTGACTAAATATATGCATTTTAAGTAATTTTTAAACAAGACACAAAGTTTTAATTAATGCTAAATAAATGCAAACCTTATGGATGTTAGCTAAATGCTAATGTCAGCGTGCAATATGCTCACAATGACAATGCTAATATGCTGATGCTTGGCAGGTTTATCAACATCTTAGCTTTGGTGCTAATATGCTAACATCTGCTAGTTAGCACCGAACAAAAAGTACATCTGGGGCTTGTGTGAATGCATTTGGCGTAAACATTGGACAAATTGGATAACACCAGGGGAAAAGTTATTACTAGAAGTTATTACAATTCATCTTGAGGGTTTGTACCATATTTCATGGCAATCTATCCAGTAGTTTTTGAGACTCAAAACCACAAAAGTCAACCTGATGGTGGCGCTAGAGGGTAAATCAGGGGATCACTAAAGTCAACGTGTTATATAAGACATGTGTGTGGGAACCAGGAATGTCTGCACAACATTTTATTCATTTAATAGCTGTGCTGCAGGCATGGCTTACAATGAAGCATCACAGATTAAAGCTCCTTATTGAGAATTTGCTGTTTTTCTCTCTTTTTAATGACTTTAAATAGCAAACTTTTAGATTTTTTGGATTGTTACATTGAAAAAAAAGGGTTTGTTGACAGTTAATAATCATTTTAGGTAAATCCTTAATTGAACTGACATGAAATAGTTATAAAATGTGTTTTAATGAAGTATACATTATTGTGCAAAAGTAAACTGTAAACTGAGTAAACTCATCCAGAACTTGCAATCTGACTTACTTTACTTTTAAATGTAATGTAAATGATGCATAAATCTCTCTTTTGCATATCATGCATTATAAATAAATTAAACCCTGATTCTAAAGGGTTTTAGCTTTTTCAATTGTTTAAACCTCTACTCCCCTGAGGTTTAGATTATCTCGACTCTAATGAAGTTGACATTTGGATGACAGTCAGATAGCTGAAGGGTTTGATGGTGGAGTTCCTCCATCCATCAGCCAGCAGTCTGAGTGAAACCCTGCCCAGCATCTCGTTGGGCAGCTGTTAGCACCTGACGCTGCAGACTGGGAGTGTCTCTGTAGCTTTACTGGGCTCCAGATCTGCAACAGATGCTGCGTCCCACCATCTACCACATTCCTCTGATGCCAAAAGGGTTAAAACTGGGTCTGGAGAAATTTCATGTGATGTTTCAGATGTGAAGTCTCAGAGCGTCTGCAGAAACATCAGTAAATTGATTCAGATCTTCACTGTACTGGGTGTACAGTTCTGTTGCAAGCACCCTTAAAGTAAACAGACCCTGAGGCTAACAACATTTTGTGGGCAAGAAGAGACTTGCAAAGGAGTTAGATTTGATAAATACTCACTATAATGGAAACGACTGGAGACTTGGAGGGTTTGACTGTTTTACTTTGAAACATATCAGTCAAATTCCTCAACTTTCTTGGAAATTTGAGTGAATATCATCACAAATTCTTCTTAACTTGACAAGATTGTGTGTGTGAAAATGTTTCTACACAAGTCCTCATAGAAAAACTGTTCATGTGAGAACATCACACACTTCCCAGGGTCTCATGGGAATACCTAAATACTGGCACCTGAGTCTTTTGTGTGAGCTTTTTTGGGAATGAGTGTCAACAATGATAAATTTGTCAGCACATAATAGGGCCAGGCATTTGAACTGTCAACATCTAACAGAGTGACTGTAGCGATAGCCCGGATTAGGCTGCTTTCTCTGCAAAAATATACTCACTAAAATCTGAATCTTTAAAGACTTTGCCGCTGGTTTCTGCAGTTCTTGACTCAGAGTTTTAGTTCAAGTGCTAGTGTGCTTTACTGTCAGAGAACAGAGGAAAAGTCGTAGAGTTTCTTTTGAGTACAAACATATCCAGACTCTCTGCCAACAGGAAGATTTTTGCTCATGTTTTTCAATCTCAGTTTCACATATAAGTATTGGGCGAGCACTCACAAATTCTGTCCGTTTGTAAGGAGCCTTTTGATGAAAGTTTAATGTAAGATGTTTAAAAATGTAAGAAGAATCATGAGCGCTTGCCCAATACTTGCATGTAAATTCAATAGATTTTTGCTCCGGGCTGATAGCACCCTAAAAGATTTCAAGAGATTTAATACAATGACACAAGTAGAACCTGTTCCTTTCTTTGTATTGTATATGTTTTATTAAAATGTTGTAAACTTAATTTTACAGAAATCTGATTGATTTCATTGCAGGGTAGAGCAGAGGATCCAGCTGTATAATGTGCACTACGACCTGGGAACCAATAGCAGTGGTGTCTGCCCGAATACCAGTCAAGACACTGGCACTTGCCTGTACTGTGCTGCGAATGGCTCATGCCTGTCTTGCATCAAGGACATGGTTAAACCACGCACCCCAGGCCGCCCACTACGTTCTCAACAAAATCATCACTGTCTGCTGTCCTGGATCCGCAATAAAAACCGTTCAGACGGCACCTTGGCCCGTAATAATTCAGCTGTGTACTTGCATGATTCTTGCAGTTTTTTGGGTTTTATACAGATGGCTGACTTATAAAAGTGTTAAATAAATGTAATGTAATGTAATGTAAACCCAGTGTTTACAGAGCTGCTGCTGGAGCAGGTGGGGGGTGTGCTGCCTTGCTACACCAGATTGGTATCAGCTTTATATTGGCCTTATTAAGCAGTTCAGGGATCTGAAATTACATAATAGAGTTGTTTTTTTTGTGAATGTCATTTTAAAATTTAGTATTTATGTTATCAGTTTCAGCAATCACGGTATATGTTAAATAAAAACTGTGTCACTGAGGTTGACGGATTTTAAATTTGTGATTAAATTAGTACTGTACTGTAGTATCAGATCAATACTCCGTTTGAGCAGATATTTAAAGTCGAGTTTAAAGAACCTGTATTGAGAGAGAAAGAGTTGGATCAGAGCATCTCTATTTGTGGAGTCATGACATCCTGAGTTGACCAGTCACATTTAAATCGACCTTATAGCGTTGCACTGGTACTGGTGACCGATTCAGGAAATATAAATCTTTCTTTTCATATGTGGCTGAGAAGCATTTTTATAACACATATCTTTCCCTTCAACTGCCTTCACTCCACGCTCACCAGCCCTTATATGGATTTATACGAGCAATGCTTCAGAAGAGCAGAGCTGCTCAGGATGAGCCGCGTCCTTTAACATGACATGTTCTCCAGTGAGTTTGATTTTAATGTGTCACACTGTGCTGGTAAGGATGACAACTCCACAGCCCCTGCCCCTCAGAGTGGAAGTGGAATAAAGTAACAGCACAAGAAACTGTGACTCAGCTGTTCAATCAGTAAATTTGAATCCAAAAAGGGCCCGAACATCTGATCTGACAGCAATATGAATCAGCATGAGTCAAAGATTGGTTTAGATATTTGAAATGATGAGGTGGCACTTTTGCCTCTTGTTTCTCATCGGAAACAACATGACTTTAAATAAATACAGCTTCACTACAGTCTAAACAAATGAAAACAGAGACTATTTTTGTTCACAAATTATTAGAAAATTACAGATAGCATCGATTAAATCTTTTTTTCCATTGGCGTTTTAACTTTTAACCTTTTGTTTTACTTCTAATCCTTCAATGAGCTATATATAAGATTTAGATTTCTAAGAATTAAACCATCTAGTATGAATGTTTTCATAGTGTAAAATATCTGCCCTCTCAAGCATGTCTCTCCTTTTTTCTGATATGCTTGCACTAATTTGCATCCTTGTGGGGATTTTAAGCACATGCTTAACATACACTGATATTTTTACCTTTTATTTAAAAATGATCGAATGATTAACACATAGGTCTCAGTTTGCAGAGGAACTTGCAGTACAAGCTACAAGCAGGTATATTTGTATGATCGTAAAACAGCTTGATTCCTTTGTTGATGACAGGTCAGACAGGCGAGCAGCCGCGTTTCGGCCATATCTTATCTAATCCTGCTGCTCCTTGACAAAGAGCCGTTCAATTTGGGATTTTACCTTCACAAATCCGCGTGCTTCTTCTTCTTCTGTTCTTCTCCTTATTTTTTTCTTATTTCCCCCCTCCCTCCACTTGAATCAGATCCCGGAGACGAAAAAAAAAATCCGAGTTATTCCAACCGGGACGGAACCGCCTTCATCCTCACTTCATCCATCCAGCAGAGCAACTGTGTAGAGATTTGGTGCTGAAGTTAAATCAAAGCGGTGCTACAGTTTTTCAGGATGGCGGAGGCGACGGAGGAGACAGTCATTGTTGTCAGAGAGGATGAATCCAGCTGCAGCATGTCAGTGATTAACAAAAAAAAAAAAAGTGGGATCCTGAAGTGTCCCAGCTCTTTGTCGCCCCTACTTCCTACTACTAAACTTACATCAGCCCCCACACAACAACATGGCCGACCCTGCCTGCGGGACCGGAGCCACACAGCTGGAGACCATATAGACTGGGGAGATCCGTCCGGTGCGGCTGATCTGAGAGCAGCTGGGAGACTGGACCCTTACAGAAGGAGAACCGGCGGACTAATACATACGTTAACGAGATAATAATGTGAGGAGGAGAAGAAGAGTGGAGGTTGGTTTCGTGCAGAAAAGGGAGGACTCAAAGCGTCCTCAATTTGGACGATTTCCAGTCGGAGTGCAGATCTCTACCTCCCCCTGCTGGTCGTAGCGATGCTCCTGCAGCTGCACATCTGCAGCTCACATTAAAAGTTGCTTCTAAAGGCAGCGATAGAAGAAGAAATCAGAGCTTTTATATAGTGTCGAAATTCAAATTTTTTACTTTTGTAAAAGTACAAAAGTAGTCCTTATGTAGAATGGCCCATTTCAGAACGATGTGTTATATTATTGGACTATAATTACTGAATTCATTAATACATCCATCGACAACCGCTTATCCTGCGTACAGGGTCGCGGGGGAATTCATTAATATGTAAAGCAATTCAAACTAATTCAAACTTCTTTATATGGGTAGCTTGTGAATTTCCACAAGGGATCAATACATTTTTATCTTTATCCATAATAATACATAATCATTAATTTTTTATCATTTGTATTAATAATCTGAATCTTAAATAACTGCAGTATTATATTTGCCTCTGAATTGTAGTGGAGTGGAAGTATAAACTGCAGAAAACACTCAAGTAAAGCAGCCTATAAGTACCTCAAAATAATAACAGTAATAATAATAATAAATTTGATTTACTACTGCTACTGTAATAATAATGCACTTTACATTTGTAAAGTGCAACAGTTCCCAAAATATAACAAAATCAACAAATACCAATAAAACACCACAAAAATAAAATTAAAATCATGAGTGTTGAAACGCCTTTTGAAATAGGAATGTCTTTCGGCCCTTCTTAAAAACCTCCACAGTTTGTGGGGCCCTCAGGGTCTCTGGGAGGGCATTCCAGAGCCGTGGGGCGACTGCCTGGAAGGCTCTGTCTCCCATAGCGGAGAGTTTAGTCCTTGGTTGGTGCAGGAAGTAGGTAGAGGTGGAGGAGCGGAGGTTTCGTGAGGCAGTGTGTGGGTACGTACCTGAGTAAATTAATAGGACAGCCACTTAATACACAATCACAGGGGTGTCCTTCAGATACTGCTGCAAATATAACTTGCTCTGTTAAATTTGACCTTTACAAATTGATGTAGCCATAGATCACGATCACTGGTGTGTGGTATTATAGTGTTTTTAAAATTTGTTCACATATTTAATTGGTTTAGTAATCGAGATTTTCATGATTTGTAGTAGTTTTCTCAAATCTACATGTGGTAATTTGTTATAGGCTACTTTGTACAGCATTATTACATTGTGTGCGCTCCTTTAGGTGTGAATTCATGTGTGTATTCATCACCAATTCCACATGTTGTTTTTAAGTTTATAGCATTTGACTGTTAACTGCTTTATCAGCTTTAGAATAAAATGCTGTGAGTTGAACAAAGTATGCCCACACAACATACATTTGTAACACTCACATGTACTTTTATCATACAGGAAGGGTTCAAGTTTGTCCTCAAGTGTCCTTGAGCAAGGCAGGTGAATGCTGGACATCAACAAAAATAGCTTTATTATCTTGTAATAACTTATATGGACAAGGTAATGTTTTTAGCTTCAGTAAAAACATCCTCAAGTTTTACAACCTGCTCTTTCTAACATTACAATTATTTAATGTGAACTAGTGATAGATGGATATTAGGCCAACAGATTATTGGCCTATTAATAGGACAAGATAAGCCTTTATTGATCCTCAGAGAGGAAATTCAAGTGTTGCTGCATCACAAGGACAGAAATAAGTTCAGGTAAATAGAGAAAAGTACAAAATAAAGAATCAGAAGTAATAAAAATAAGAATAGAAATACAAATATAAACTATAAAAGAGAAATAACACTCAAATTACATTACAAGCATTATACATACAGTACCCAAGTACCCAAACTATGGTGCAGTTGTCAAGTGAAGTGTGGTGTGATTAGTGACCACAAAGTCAGCAAAGTATAGTTCTGTACATGTAAGAGTAACATGATATCATCTACAATGTAGCTAACACCAGAATAATATGTTATATGATTAAGTAACAACACTTACTGTTTATCTGTATTAAAATAGAAATATAATATAGTGCATAGTGTCATAAAACACATTAACATTATATAGTATATAATGAGATTTAAAATATAATATAAGGTGAAATGAAATAATGTAGAATATATAATACAGTCGAGCATTGGATAAAACATATGATGTAGTATAGAATGAGTTTGGTATAATATTTAATGAATATTATAATGTATTATATGTACACACAATATTGACTTTTTAGATTTTGTCTTCTGCCCGTGTCGTCCTGTGCTGCTGTATGAGGAGTTTTTTGAAACAACAACAGGCATGTAGAACTGAAAGTGTGGCAGTGGAGAAACCTGAATACTACTAAACACTGAAAAACACAAAACACAAAAAAATGAATGATAATTATCAATGTACAATGCTTTGCCTGTTTCAGGAACGGGTTGTTGGAGACCCACTTTCTGACGGAGGCTGCTGTATTTGTTAAAAACTCTTTCTTAATAGTATATATAATAAAACAATAAAACAATAATGTCAGTATTTGTATCTGAGATCAGATTCCTAAGACTAATCTATACAAAGTGTTAAGGTAAACTAAACCTTTTAATTGCTGGTGTAAACTTTCTTAATTTAACATTTTCCACATGAAGAAGTTACGTAGGCTGAAGTTTATATAAGTTGAGGTAGATGTATACTTCTTGGAAATGCAAAGATACAGCAACCTAGCCATAACAATTAATCCATCCATCCATCCATCGTCAACCGCTTATTCTGCGTACAGGGTCGCGGGGGGCTAGAGCCAATCCCAGCTGACATCGGGTGAAATGCAGGGTACACCCTGGACAGGTTGCCAGTCCATCGCAGGGCATAACAATTAATTTGGTAATAAAATAAACATTTTTTGCTGCTGTGACAGTTTCGTGCATCATTATGGTTTGGCCAAAACTTAACATTATGACCTTAATTGAAGGGGGGATTTGTTGCAAGATTGTTGTATTACTACATTAGTTTACGCTGTGTGTACCTAATAAACTGGCAACTAAGAGTATGAAAGATAAAAAAACAAAAAACAATATCTAATGTAGAATATATAATAGAATTAATATTGCAGCTTTTCATTGCTGTCCAATGAAAAACCCATATCTCCAAATTAGATGATTTGGAGTATTTCAGATCATTACTTGTAGTTCCTATGTGGGTTAAGAAAACCCTCCCACTTCTAATGCAGAACAAACCAATTAAAAATCAATTGAATTATTAAAAAATGAACTCACAAGAAGATAATGTTTTGGAGATATGGTCTTTACAGGACCACAACATTTTATTGCCTATTTACAGTAATAAACTGTGAACAAGAAACACACACACACACACACACACACACACACACACACACACACACACACACACACATACACACACAAAGCCTCTCTCTGTCAACACTCTTCTCTGTAAAAGCTGAGTATTAAAATCTTCAGTCATGAGACTTTAACTCAATAAAACTCTTTAAACTCCACATGTCAACTCCAGTAGGCTATAAAAAAACGAACAGCGCTAAAATTAGAATGAGTCATATGTTCTTCTCCTCTCCTGTTTGGGGTGATAAAGCACAGTGTATTGTCTGGTATGATTACTCACTGCTCTTATTTCCAAGCAGAAGATATTACCTAGTGTGAATTTAAGGCAGCTGCTGATTGCAGACCCATCTGAGCAAACAGGAGCATATTTCCTTTTACTGTACAAACAGTGCCAATATTATTGATGAGCTACTGTAAGGAGCCATTTATTATAAAACTTACCAGTGTGGATTTTATGTTGCATATATCAGATTACTTATCAGTTTCATTAACAAAATAATCCAGATGTTATATCAACACACACATATAGCAACAAACATTTGAACCAGCTTGCAACAGGAGATTAAAATGTTTCTATAAAAGATTGCTCAGGGCAGCAAGTTTATTAATATTCCACTATGATTATTACAGGAAGGCACTTATATGGTGTTGTGAGTCAAGCATCAGGTGATTGCTGCATAACTGTCCTTATCTGCTTTATGTTCTCAGCTCTGCATGTGTAATTAAATGATGAAAAAGTGATATCCTGGTAACATCAGATCAAATATGTTTGAACTTGATTAAGACATGCGTGGAAGCTGGATGGGTAATCAGCATGCTACACTGATTACTGGTTCAACATAAGATGATCGTGATTATATTATGATTGTTCATAATTATTTCATTTTATTTATAAGATGTTCAGATATTTACATTATTTTAACTCAGTTGAGGGTCCAAATGGCAAAAAGGGGCATCTTTTTTTATTCAACCTACACTATTTTCCAATATAAGAAAGCATGAAAATGTTATTTAGAGTTTAATGACCCATTTGAAAATCATTATGGTCCCATTGCATAATCCTCTACTTATCTGGAACAAAATGAGGTACTTTAATTTCACTATTCTAATAATATAACACAATTAAAGGTTTTGATATGATTTCACTCTCTCTACATTTCCGTTTTGATTTGATACAGTTGGGTAAGTCTATAATCAGATAGATCCTGTATAAGATTTCCTCCTGTCTAACTTGAAGTATGTGACATTGAAGACCTTGATATAGTTCAGTGGCACTTTCTCCTCATAACCACTTGGGTGCAGTGCTCTCTCAGAGTAAAGGAAAGGCTCCACTTCAGTCTGCATTTTTCCCCTCCACATCTTAAGAATTATAAGTGTTTCTTTTGTGCTGAGCGAACCGGCACATGACGTCAGAGTTAGAAGAGGATCGACTGTGTGCTGAATCACCCACTAAAGATTCAGCACACGGTCCTGATAGATACCTGTGTGGGAATTCATGATTAGTGTCCAGGACACAAAGGCATGAGAGTCTGCAAATGAGAAAAACTGGAGTAGAAAAGTTAATAATAATTCAAGTAGAGTAACTACGTACTGTAAAATGATAATCCTATTACATTTCAGAGGGACCTAGTGCACTTTTATTTTCATAAAATTTATCAGACGGCTGTTATATAAAAAACTTTTATGATGCTTTTATGAAATACATCTCATTGTTAAAGATTAAACCAGTGGTTTCTAACCAGTTTGACCGTGTCTAGTTTGGGCCCCTAGTCTTGTTTCAGATGTCTATGAGTTGTTAGCAGTTTCATCAAAGTGTGATGTCCCCTCTAAACTTTGCAAATGGTTCCATTTTAACATCTTTTCCAGGTCGAAAGAGGCAAAATGATGCATTATTTTACAAGAAAAGCCTTAGACAGATTAGAAAAAAGTCTAAAAAAGATGTAAATCTGTGCAGCAGAATGTTTTTTTTCCTCTTTCCTCTCCCATCAGTCTTTTCACAACCCCTCACACTTATCTTGTGGCCTTTGGGAAGTACATTTCTGAAAGAGGGACACCAAGGAAAGCCGGAAAGGTTAAAGAAACTTCAACCAGATGACTCAGGTTCAAACTGCGTCTGGTTCTTTGACTGAGCCTGAGCTCTGACCTTAACAGACGTGGAGAAGTGAAACATTATAAATATGTAAAAAATATATATAGCCTAAATACAGCTTCCTCAGATGCCTTAGTTAGAGAAAGCTTTTCTAGAAGAGAAGCTGCAAGTCACATTTCAACACTGGACAGCTCCACGAGACAATCGCTACTGCTAATTATATAAATAGGCTAATACGTCAGCTCTTCATCTGCGTCATGTGAAAACCAAGTATCTCCAAGTTGGGTGATTTTGAATGTTTTAGGTAAACCAGACTAAAAGTTTCTTTAAACCTCTGAACAATACTTATCAGGTGTGAAACCAGGCCTGACCTTTGACCTTAAGAGAGAGGCAAATGCAACATGGGAAAAAATAGCTAAATATATGCTGGTTAATGAGCTCCCTCAGAGAGGTCTCTTTGATGCCTTAGTTGGAGAAACATTTTATGTTTCAGCACTGGACAGCTCCCACTCATCCCACCTGGCTTCAGAGGCCACAGGATCCCATTAATGGCATGACGTCAAATGTTGACATTAATTCACTGTTTAATTTATGTTAGAATCCAGGCTCTTTTTTATGACTTGGCTCGGGGTCTTTCATTGAACGCGGAAGAAAGATGCACTCCAATGGGACGGGGGAGGGATGTGTGTGGGGTTGGGGGGGGGGCGATGACGCAGCCACCCACCTCCCCTCTCCAACCCCAGTCCCCACCCTCCCACCCCCACCTACCTGACAAGTGAAAAAGGCATGCCTTTCGGATACATGAATAAAAAACCAACGGGAGTGAAGTTCACAGGACGCAGGAAAGTTCTCCGCAGACAAATGTTTGGCGCTCTTCATTCCGCCCATGACCGAGTGCGCGTAGAAATCCCCGAGATCTGAGCTGAGCGGGCGCACTGAGGGCTGCACACTCGGAAACAGGCACAAGGAGATTGAAGAGGCGCTTCTCTGAGGGAATAGAGGAAGAGGAGAGGAAAGGAGAGAGAGAGAGCCAGAGAGACTGAGATAGAGATCCTATCTCACTCTCCCAGTTGAGATCTTCAGTGGATCGCGCCCCAGCGCCTCGCAACTGGTAAGAGGAGGCACTTTTCGGGGTGGTTTACGCAGCGTAAAAGTAGAGAGAGTTTTTTTTTATGGAAACTCACAGTTGCGGTGTGAAAGTAACTTCACTTGTATTGTTTCCTGAATGCATCAAATAACTGTTCTCATGAGTAGATTGATTGATTGATTACACAACTGTGCACTCACTTAACGTCGTTTTTTCCCCTTTTGCAGCAGGACAATGTCTAGTAAAGCGACTTTAGCCTTAATCATCTATGGAATCATAATGCATTACAGCGTCAACTGCTCACCTGTGGGACTAAGCTTTCCCAGTGTTAGGTACGTACACTCTTACTCACCAAATCACTTTTCAGGTGTTGGTTTCTCTTTGAAAGGAGAACTTGGCATTATTGCACTCAGCAGCAGGGTACAGGCTAAAGACCACATCTGCTTCACGGTTAGTTATGTCTGTGGCTATATTAGCCTATTGGATTACTGGATAACATCATGACAGCCAATCCATAGGGCTGCTCACAGAAATAATTGCGGAGGAACATTCACCAGGGTAGCTGCGGTAATGTAATTGAGGCTGCTGATGCAGTGGAGGACTGTGTCTCAATGTGTCCTGCGGCCATTAATCCACCAATTTATGTGACTAGAGACAATGAGTAGAAAACGTTTTTGAGGGAAAATAAGGCTTCTAGGTTATAATATTTGTACAACAAGTAAAACATGTAGATATAAATTGTGGCAACACGTAACATTTATGGTGGATAATAATTATAATAATTATATATTTTTTTATTTTAGACAGAAAAAGTATCTACAGGAGTTCATAAAACATTATGTCTGTCAGTCTGTATATATAATATAGTTTAATTTTTTTCATCCTGAATATGCAAATACTATTTTAATGAGCCTCCTTAATGTCAGTCCTCAGTCACAGAGCTGCACATTGGAAAAGGGATTGTGAAAAACTGTCTAATTTTTTCAGACTTGACAGTGAGGTTTATGATGAGGATGGAAATTCCTTATCATCCCTGGATTATGACAGAGACCAAATGGATGTGAGAAGCCCTCCGTCCGTCGCTGACGATGTCTACTCTCTGTATTACCCACCAGAGAAAAGGTGACTATCATCACCGTTTGACTTATTTTTTTCTCTCTACGTCGGAGACATTCATGTTGAACATCTCATCTCTATTTCTGTCCGCGTAGCAATGTTGTCCGTTTTGTGTGAATCAATGTGACATATTGTCGAAATCTTGTCAGTAACTTTCAACACAATGAAAAGGTTTTGTTTTATTATTTATTATTTCCAGACATGCCTTCACCAAATTAGTCCCTGTTTGTACTGAATTCCAAGGGGAACTTAAAGTCGACTAAAAACGTGCTTTTGAAAAAACATCTTTCAATTGCAAGAAAAAAGTAAAGAAATTCAACGAAATCTGGCTGTAAGTCAGCTACAAAACTTCTTTATGGCAGTTAAAAAAATCTATTTCTTAAAATAAGTGAAAGATAACTGTAGAAATTATGAAACAAAATATTCTGGGCAAATTAATTGAAACACCTCAAAAGCAAAGACTCAAGTGAAATAGTTTCAAAACGACTCGCATTTACATCTATAATTGACTTGTTAAGATGGGTATTTTTTTGCAGTGCAGCTACTTGAAATTGTTGCCTCTTGCGCTGGGTGTGTGGTGATTTTACTGTGTGGCTATCTATCATCCCAGAACGGAAAGGCATGCAGACGGCATGTTTAATAAAGCCTACAGGAAAGCGCTGGGTCAGTTATCAGCAAGGAAATATCTACATTCTCTGATGGCAAAACGTGTAGGGTAAGAAACATCTTTTTGTTGTCACCTCTTCTTTTATACTTGATGTTTTCTGTCCTATGTGCATTTTTGTTTATTTTGACTGATCCTTTAAATGCTCATAATTCACGCTGTTATACGTAGGTACTGTATATGTCTGTGGTCCCATTACCTCCCCGCGTGCAATCTTTATTAATGCCATAAAATGCTCATGTAGAGCAAAAACGGGCTCTTGATTGATTTGGGATGTGTCATGTTCTGAGCCCGGTGCAGTGTCATTAAGGATCAGAGGGAAGAAACAGGCTAAAATGTATTTACATATGAATAATTTATAGGATGGAGTCACAGTGGTTCCCGATGGAACGAGAGAGAGAGAGAGAGAGAGAGAGAGAGAGAGAGAGAGAGAGAGAGAGAGAGGCGGGGGTGCAGGGTGGGGTGCAATCACTCTAGCCTTATGAGAAGGCCTATCACATCTTATTGCAGGTACGAAATATCATATAGCAAATCATCCTGGGATGAGCTAAAAGTTACACAAAGAGAGAATATGTCCCTGACATTCAAGCCTTAAGATCATTTTGCAAAGATTTTGTCTTTCTGCAAAATGACAATGCACCTACAGGCTGCCTGCTTTGTCCTGGAATCAACTAAATGTTGAAATCTGATTATCTTCCCTAAAGTGCTCCAAAATAAGGACACACGTTGGGTCTAGTGAAGCTCTAAAGGCTACAGACCAAATCTGATTATCTAATTATTATTTCCCCTTCTAAGATAGTGACACAAAGCCCTAATTTAAGAGTCCAGGCTCTCCATCTCAGCACCACAAGCTGTATACGCAAGGTAGGGGGGGGGTCATGTGAGTATAAATGCATCGTTGTGACGGTAGTGATCCCTGCCTCTTGTCTCTCACACAGCGGAGGCAAATCACTGGATGACAGCTCAGAGCCTCTGTCCAAGCGACACTCAGACGGCATCTTCACAGACAGCTACAGCCGCTACCGAAAGCAAATGGCAGTCAAGAAATACCTGGCGGCCGTCCTTGGGAAAAGGTATAGACAGAGAATTAGAAACAAAGGACGCCGACTGGCATATTTGTAGCATCCTCCCGTCCCCTCCTGAACAAAACAAAAAACTTAAGTGTGTGCAGCCCCAGATGAAGTCATTTTGAGATCTGAACAATCAGTGGATCGCTTTTGTGTTCTTAAACATGTATTTATGTATGAAGTAAGCCATTAAAATGAATATTTTGATAATAATATTGTTTTTTATTTTGTACTTAAAGCACTTGAGGTCACATATATCTACTTTGTGGACCAATTTTTGTTCATTCTAAAAAAAAAACTTGCCTCTATTTATGTATTCATTGATTTATTTTTTTTTAGACCTATTTATTGAGGGGAGACAATTGTTCACATGACAATATGCTCCAACAGCCCTGTCTTTTAAACATTAAGTGAAGAGATATGATTGTGAGGAAAATAAATAGTTTAAAAGACAATCAATGCATTGAATGCTGCTTTTTGTAAAGTGACATTAAGAGTTTAGTTGTCTTTATTCACAACAGCCTTGAAGACATAGGTTTTCATCATATCCTACAAGACATAGACTTTGATGCCCTCCCGGACGGGGATGAGTTTGAGACTTTTATGGGAGACTGGCTGAAACAGTTCTCTCACGAATTTCTGGTGAGTTTCAGGCTCTTGATTGAGGCCCTGTCCTCGCGGGGGCGTCTCATGTCCCTCCCTTTTCTTCTCACCTTCAACTCTTGTGATCTTACTCCAAACACTCAATCCCGACTCTTCTTCCACCTCATTTGTGCTCCTGTCTCTCTAGAGTCTCATAGATTTTTACCCACCTAATCCCACAATGTGGAGAGACTTTGCTTAGACCGATATGTTATACATATCATTCTTGATTGATACAAAAGAAACGGATTGATCTGCGTCCTGTTTATGGATGCAAGGATGATATTATGATGCCAAAAAAATTTATTTTAGCAGATCTGGGTTAGACCAGATGAGAGCCCTGTTGGCTTTAGAAACTTCTAAAATCTGAGATGAGGACCAGAGTACTTCTGAGGTTTTCTTGTCCTATTCTTCTGCAGTGTTTACAGAGTGAGCTTACACCTCTGACTCATGTAAAGTGCCAATTCTTGTGTTTCTCTCAGCTGGTTTCTGTGTGTTTGGAAACATCTTATGCTGAAGGTTTTTTCATGTCCCATATAATAAGTATCACAAACATCTAAAGCACCATCAAGCACATAAAAAAAAAAAACAGCATAAAAAAAACAACAAGAAATGATACTTGTTACATGGTAACTTATCCATCGATTTGTCCTTTGTGAGAGACATACGAGGCAGTTTGAACTTTTTGTGTTTGAACCCTCTGGGTCTATTGTGCTTCCCTTTTCTGTCATGTGAACCAATGTAAAAACTACAGTAGACTGCATGATTAAAGTAATTGCACTAGCCACCGCATCTGTGCAGACGACTCCAACTAGATGGTTTTGCTTGCTTTCTGACTACTGCAAACATACATACCTGCCATTTCTGGATGTTGTTTTGTGTTCTGTTCTCCTCACTGACATTTCTACACAAGCTGTATGTTGAATTGTGTCCTCCTTGGAAGACTTACCTGAATGTACTTCACTGTTGGAATTAATCTCTCAGTCTAATGTCATGTTTTATCTTTTAGGCTCTGTTACTAAACCACTTTGTATCCAACTGTTAAATTGTATATGAAGAAACACCTGAAATTGGACATTTAAAGTGGTCTCTTTCTATTATCGGTCTGTAGCAAGGCACAAAGGGTGCCATAATTGGCTAATTGACATAATTACATTTTAAGAAGAGGAAGGATGAGATGCAAGTACATGAGAAGAAAACACAGAGAGAGAGAGAGAGAGAGAGAGTGAGAGAGAGAGCAAGGGTGGGCTGAATGACCAAGAACATGGTGATTTTGAGAAGTTCAGGGATCAGGCAAAGTTTGTAAAATAAATCTATGTGGTGAACAAATCACATGACTTACACAGTCTTACTAGTCCCCCCCCCCCCCGGTCTAAACGCTTCTTATTTATTTAGTTACTTAATTTGTGAGGAAGGAATACTGATTATGGCAGAAAAGGCGAGTTTGTTTTCACACAGCAGGGTTATTCGATCTGTGTTTACTGTATCAATCTTTTTTAATTTTGCATTCTCCTCTAGGCTTTGTGACGCAGGAAGCAGTTTGCGGCTGTGGTGCCTTGCATCGACTTTAAAATCGCCATGAATCACAGATGGCTATTTAGTGGCCCTACAATGCTGCACATCATCAGCTTACATTTCATCCTTTTGTTGTTGTTGTTGTTGACCTTTGATAGGATCTTGAGTGCCATCCAGCTTAGACGCAAAGCGTTCTCGCTTGCACTGCTTTCTGTTGCACTTTGTTTTTAGAGCACTAGATGTAGATTTTTGTGAAAATAGAGGGAAGGATCAGTTTCCCGCTCTCCATCACACATTATATGTATGGTAATGAAAGCGCCAATAGCCTTACTAAAATGAAATTATCTTCAAAGATATATATATTTACTGTGTAGAAAATGAATATTAGATTACTACTTCAAATGGCGATCTGCAAGGGTCACGTCAATAAATGTTTAAAAAAAAAAGTGTTGTAAGATTTGTATGAATAAATTTTTGTAAACAACAAAAATTTCGTCTAATCTTTGAAGCCAGTATCACCATAAGTATTTAAGTTAAGACACATTTAAGAGGATGAAATCGAGTAATAAAGACCAAACTCATTTTATTATTACAATGGAGACAGACCCTCTTTCCCGACAGATTTAACAGGATATTACATAAGAAAGGAGAGATGAAAGAAGTTGAGAGAAAAATCCACTGGTGGACATCACAGAAGGAAGCAATGGTGAAACATTAGCAGTATGAAACATCAAAAAGACCACACACAATCACATAGGACAAAACAACATATTGCAAGTTAATTTCAAAGCACAGACACACATGGACACACCTTATAGCTGGAAAAAGTTTTAAAAAGTGTCCCTCAGATTTCTCTCTTCATCGGTGTGGGTATTATGTATTGTACATGTCTGGATGGTCAGTAAATACATAAATAAATATAAATCAGCAAACCACAAAGGATAAGCTGGTGAAAAGGAGACCAAAAGTCTCTGCCCCATTTTCATGGTGACTCAGTGGCTTTGGCGGAGGAACAGTGACACCAGTTGGCTGGGTGTCTGCCTCCCCTCGGGACAGCATGAGTAAAGCATGAGTGGGAGGGATCACCCAGCCCGCACCACACACTGCCTTGCTGCACTTTACACCTCTCCGAGACTTCAGCAGTCGCCACCAAAGGCCTGCAGTACTGGTGGAACAGTTGGCCGGTCTCAACACTGGCACGTTCACTTTGTGCCAAAAACAACGTCTACGTGTGAAGCAACCAGCCCTGTGCCGACTGGTTTCAACTGAACATGCACAGAAATGAGGGAACATACTAGAATGGATTAGAAATCTACCTTTATATGACCTGTCTTGCATAAAATAATCTGGTGGAGAAGCCATCTTTCCCCAGCATGCCTCCATAGCACAAACTACATCACAAAATAGACTGAATGTAGTTTTTTCTGTGGCTGAGCACTTTTTTCATGTTAATTTCCTTCTTGGTTATATTAATTGTAAAGTTACATGGATACGTTTTTGGGTCCCAGATAGGCTCTTAATAGGTGCAGAAGGACTGTTGCACATTTCAGATTTCCACCAGTGGAAATGTATGCATTTATTTTAGAGAATAGTTAGTAAATAATTATCAATTTTCAAGTACAATTGGCAAATTTGACTAGCCCCAGCTTCTTATATGTATATTTGCCTGTCGTTGTCGTCTTCTGTATTATCAAACTAAATATCTTTGGATTTGGATTAAAATTTCTGGAATTCAACTTTGAATATGACAACTTGGGCTCTGTGAAATTGTAATTTGCATTTTAACAATAAACATAATCGTTAGTTGCAGTCAACAATACTGTGACAGTAGGAGGCAAAACAACATCAGAAATACCCCTTAACCCCTTAACGCTTGAATTTCTTTACGATCAAAAAATAAATAAAAAATTATTTGTGTTTTCATTTGCTTTCAAGCTGATGTTAAATTAAGTGAAGATTGTTAATTTGTCTTTAGAACATAGAAAAGATATAAATTCAGGTATGTGTAGGTATGATGCAAATTAGTGACAACAGGCATAAATGAGAAACCAGGGCTTGCGAAAGGTTCATAGGTTGGTATCAAATATGCACCAACAGGCATTGGGGGAATCCATGTGCTATCTTGGCTTGCAGTCTGCAAGGAAGAGGTATGATGCGAATTCTCAACAATCGGCGTCAAGGGGTTAAACTGCAGTTTCTCATCACTGTTCCAAAGCTACAATTCATTTGTCTTATATTTCTCCACCTTTTCAGTGCAGTTTCAGTGCACAGGTCTTTACCAGGCCTGGGTGTGTTTGTAGCAAGAAGATATTATTACAGAGTGTGGATTTAGCCTTGAAAAGATTTCCTTTTGCAATCCCTGTAGTACAGGAGTACACCTAATGAGATGCAAATGATGCTAAAGCATGTTTTAAAAAACAAGCACGCATTAACAGTGAAGAAGTGATGCAAAATGTGAAGCTTGTTATTTAGGTTTTGGAAGACATCCTGGCTATGCTCGCTCACTAACATTTAACATTTGAAGTACCTCTAAAGTCTTGCCTCTGTCCTTTGCACTGCATTATCAGAAAAAATCACACGATAAGATGTCTGTTCCCTTTAAGAAAACACTAGCAAACATAATGGCCAACTCACTTACAGTTTGAGTGGGACTAACAGAAGCTACAATGCTAAGTAAGCTAAATTCACCAGCAAGCAAAGTATTTTGCTCTAAAAGCTTCTTCTTTGTCTCGTTGTGGTCCATAACCCCACTTTATAGACCAGTTTAGCTAATACAGCTCTCACACAATTTAAAGAACTCTTATTTTGCAGTGTGGAAATATATGCATCATTAATGTTGTTTGTTACACCTTTTAATTTCCTGCTATGACAAGTCAAAATGTCTGCTGTGAAAAAAGATTCAATGTCTTTGTGAAAACAACGTAGTTTTCCTCTGCAAATGGTAACAGAGTGCTAACAAAATGGCAATGATTATTAGTCTAGAAAGCATTAGCATTAGAACCCACATTAAAGCGTATATTGATTTCCATCCATAAGCAGGAGCAGGATGTTAAATATACAAATTATATGTTATTATTAAAAGTAGAATAATACTATAATCACTATAATAATATATAATATAACAATAATAAGGGTTGTAAAGACAGCCTCTTGTGATGTGACCCATCAGTCCAGAGTGTTGAGACCCCAACGGGACTCCCACACTGCAGGTGCAGCAGGTGGCATTTGGATTACCACCATATAGCCCTCCACCCTGTTCCTTTTCTCCACATGTGACACCGTTTTATGTTTGTGTCAATCAAAATTAGTGCTAATGACCTTAAATAGTTCCCCCATATCTGACAATAGATCACCAAAGAGCAGGACCTTTTCTAGACATTGTAGGCTTGTCTGTACACCTTCTCCAAGGCAGGTTCTCAATTACAATCACTCAACTTGTGACTGTGAATAGTCGACCAAGCAGCCACACAAAGCCTGCCTCTCTCTGCTCCTCTGTGTGCGTAATAACCCTCTCTCAGACATGATGGCAGGGCTTTGATTTTGTGGCCGTGGCCTCAGCTCTCAGAAGAGTGCAGGGAGGAGATGATCAATGGGAATGATCTGATTCCTCCGGCCCGTGCCAGACCCTTTCTTAACCCTGCTAACCCAATCAGCCAGTGTTGCCAGGCAACCAGTCCCAGGAGGATGCGTTGGGAGTGGGCGGAGCGCCGGTGGCCTTTCTGGGCACCCAAAGATCACGCTGGATATATTTCACTCAATTGGCTTCAGTCTCAGCTATGGTGTCTTTTACTGGCTGCAGTGGCAAGTTGCAGGGAGCGGCTGATAGGCTCTCAGAGAGGAAATCAGAGGCTGAGTAACGCGTAGTGATTCATAAACGTGCACAGACATAACAAAGACACAGACAGGCACACACACTGTAACTAATGCTTTCACAAATTACTCACATAGCTCAGCAAGAGTCAAAAAGACACAATGTGCTAAACGTAAAAACAGTCTGGATCAAAGAAGTAAAAAGAGAAGATTCTGAGGACTAAAGATGTCACAGTGTTTTACAAGAAAAAACGTCCACAGCCATGCTAGCAACTCGGTGGGGCTGTACTTAGCCAAAGTGGTGCTATGAACTAAATGCTAAAGTCAGCATGCTCATGCTGCCAATGTTTAGCATGTTCACCATCTTAGTTTAGTGTGAAAGCATGCTAGAATTTCTTCATTTGTCAATTGTCAATGTCAATGTAATTAGTTTTGTAGGTAATTAGTCAGAAACCAAAATATTAGACAAGGTGAAGTTTTGATCTGAGTTAAGTGATAATCCAAGTCGTCATGAGCTGGGAAACATGAATGGTTGTATCATATTCTTATGTTAATCCATCTGGTAGAGTTTGAGATATTTCACCGGATAAGTGAAAGCCTTAACCTTCTGGTGGCACTAGGTGAAAAGTCAGGAGATCACCAAAGTCAGTA